GGCTAGGTTTCCCCTGACGGCAGCTCCTAACTGGGTGCAGATCTCTGCGGCCCAAGAGCCCGCAAGACTGTACCCGGTGGCCCGCAGCCACGCCAGCTCACTGAGTGGGCTCCCTCTGGTCCCCAGATCTAGAAGGCTAGAGCTAGGCTGTGCCACGCGCAGGTGCTGGCCGTGGAAGCGCACACATTCTGAAGCCAAACTGCCTCAGGACACTCAGAACGACAATTTTTTTTTTTTTTTTTAATTGACCGCTGACAGGCTGAGGGAGTTTGTTTTAGTGCTGAATACCCCGGGAACAAAATCCTTTTGAAAGGAAAGCTAAGTCGTTTCACGCCACCAAAGTGCAGATTTGGTGAAGAATGACTGATGGGACAAAGCGGCGCGGTGAGTTGGCGCGCGTTCCCAGAGAGCGCGCAGAACGTGGGCAAACGCGGGAGGCGGCCTGGAAGGTGGGGCGGGCCAGAGGAGACCCTAAGACCCAAAATCGATGCGGCGTTCGCTCAAGGACCTTCCCCACCTGCACATTTCACTGCCCATTTGGTAGAGAAGAAGGAAAAGTAGAGGGAACAAAAAAAAAAGTGAAAAGTCAGGGACAAGACAGCAGTAAGAAGGGAGGAGAGAGAGAGAGTGAGAGAGAGAGACGGGTGCGGGTGGGGTGGGCGACTCAAAGAGAAGGAGGGAACAACCCTGAAGGAGAAAGGGGGAAAAGAAAGGGCAAATTAAGGCTCAGCCCCCAAACGCTCCAGGCAGCCCCGAGTTCGCTTTCCAAGTCGGGAAGTCGGGTATTGTTTTTGGCGCCTAGGAAACCTTCGGAAGCTGCCGGGCACTTTCCCTGTACCTCCCAACGGTGTTTGGTAAATATTAACAAAACAGGGCGCGTTACTTTCTGGAGTGTGCACGGAGGGGCTGGCCCGGCTCGGGATGGTTTTCCTCTCCTAGAGCCCCCGCCCCCTAACCCCAGCCCCACCGTTCGCGCACACATACACCTGCTTGACAACAGAAGGAATCAAAATCAATATTGTATTTGTCACCCCTCTGTCTCCTTTTTACTCTCTCAGCAGCCCGGGTGCCACTGAAGCGAATTGTGGATTTATGGAGGGAAATTAGCATAAATTATTACGAAATCTGTAGCCGTGTGTGGTCCAGCTTGTGGGAAAAGAGGCTATTGCGAACTCTCCAAGCAGAAAGGTGGTCGGTGGTGGGCTCTGCGGAGGCGATGAATGGCTATTGCATGAAAGAGATTTCCATTTGGTTTGCACATGGGTATAATTGACTTATGTGTATTTTATACAGTTTTCCCAACAACTCCCTAAGCCTCAGAGTCGGATGTGCCCCCTCCCCAGAGCCTCTGTTTGCTTTGGGTTCTGTACAATAGACTCTGATGCACTTTTCAAGATTTCTGGAAAGTACTCCTTCCCTCCTCTTCTTCATAATACCAGTCTTAAAACGGTGTAAATGACATGCAAATCCCCTCCCCCTTCCCCTGGGCTCTTCAGTAGGATCTGAAATACAATTTTGTAACAAAGTGCCTGTTTCAAATGTGTATTTCACAATTCTTTCACCCCACCCAGGGCAAATTTGTGCAATTAGGCTCCATTTCCTTAATTAATCCTGGGCATGGGCGATATACCTCACCTCCAATCCTCACTCTAGCCAAATTTTGGAGATTCCTGAGACACGAATTCCTACTTGTATCCTCACATGTCTCAAACTTGGTGGTGACAACTTGCCCAGGGAGATGGACAAAAATTTATTTCAAATTAGATTTTTTTTTTTAATCCAAACGTCTCCACTCTTGGAATTTAGTTAATCTTCTGTTTACTCCAAGCAATGATTTCCACAGCCATACAAAGGGCCTTCGCAGGGCAACAAAATGCCAATTGTTAAAACAAGAAAACATTTCTCTCCCCATCCCCCATCCACAACAAGCGTGCCCACACACCCTGGAGAAAAGAATCTTCCTGGCTGTCACTGGGGGGTACTGAGATCTTTTACTCTTTTCGTTACATATCCCAATCCAACCACTCTCAATGTTTTATCTATGTTTCTGTGTATCAGTATGCACACATTTGCTAAGAAGATCCTAAAAGATCCTTGGGGGCTTCAATGCTGGTGCCCTTCCTTCCCAGGAGCATTCCTGCCTCCTCCACAGGCACTCCTTGTATCCCTGAGGCCAGGTGCCTTCTGGAGCAGGAACGCTGTGGACCAATGCCTTTCCATCTGGAAAACACAAGCTCTTACTACTATGCTTCATCAGGGTTCCAGGTCTCCCCAGCTCTTCCCATCCCAGGACCGTCAAACCAAACTGGGCCGTGCCCAGTAACACCTCAAAACACCGCCCGACATTAGAAGCTGAATCTCGCACAGCTCAGGCAAGTACCGCTGCCTTCTGCCGCAGCTGGACAGAGTCCACAGAATCCAACTGGTTTATCTGTAGAGGGTTTATCTGCCCTCATTGAGCCCCCAGGGACTGGTCAGCATCCCGCCTCTAACCCTCGAACCCACCTCCTCCTCCTGGTTATTTTTTCCGAATTAAGAAGATGACATTATTCTTTTCTTCAAGCACTTCTGTTAATATTGAAAAACGTGTGCTTGCATCTCAAGCGGGGCAGCCCAGATGCGAGAGCCATTTCAATATTAATGAAATTGTTTAATCTCCTAAATTCATCGTGTTTAAGTTACGTTTTGGTGAGTTATTGACCACCTCTGAAACTGTGGTTAATGGAGGTGTGTGTGTATGTGTGTGTGTGTGTGTATGCGCGCATATGTGCCGAAAGATTTTTATGCTAACCCCCAACATCACCACTGATAATGCTCGAATATCACTAAGTGTCCAAACTTCACACCCAGAACTCGCCCTCCACCATCACTACCATCACCTCCTCCTCCTGGGGAAAAAAAATTCTCACATTTTGGGATTGAAGATGATTCAGTGTGGGCTCTAGGTATTGAGTTTTTAACGAGGTAAAAGGGAAAAGGAATTTCTTTTTAAAAACCATAAAGGTGGAAGGATGTGCAGAAACCAGTGGGGACTGCTATCGTCTATTCCTTGACTGTGTGCATACACGCAGGGTAGACTCACTATTTCATAGCAATATGATGATGCCGCCGACACCCACGACGACGACGACGACGACGATCGATGATGATAATGATGATGATGATAATTCATGGAATCTCTGGAGACTAATCCGAACCTAAGGGAGCCTACTGCCAGCACCAGACAGGGGTACCCTAGGCATATCCCTGCCCTCTCCTTTCTCCCAAAAAGGAAAATCTCTGGTTCTTTCCCAGTCTAGAAGTTACTGCTGTTTTAGTGAGTCTGCAGGCAGCTTTTGCTAGGCTCTCTAAACCCTAAATACTTTCTCTCTACTGGGGGGGAGGGAGAAGCAGAGAAAGTCCCGGCCCTAAAATGCAAACTTCCAGGCAATGCCTAACTCCTAAAGTTTCAAACCACCTGGGGAAAACATGAGACCCTGCCCTTCATCTGGAGATAAAGTGTGTCAAACATACTCAGATCCTCCCCCAGGTCCACACACTGTATGCCCCAACAGCCCCAGAACCTTTATCCTGTGCCTAATTAAATTCCTAGAGGACTTTTAGAGTGAAGATCCTGACTATTCTCCCAGAGTTTTTTTTTTTTTTTTTAATTTGGCCAGTACACTCACAAAATGGGTTTTACACAGACCTCTTGGATTATATTTTTGTATTTTCTAAACCCCATCACTTAAGGCTACACACCCACAGTGTAGAGCTATGGCAACAGCCTAGGAAGGTCAAATCAAACTTTGACCTGCCTCTTGGAAGACTAGGGGGAAGGGTGTATTTTCATTATAATAACCCATGCAACCAGCCCCGTATTGCCATGCGCAGGAAAAGGGTCCGCTTCAAGGGAAAGCTGTGCCTTACGTTAGCTAACAATACAAACCCGATACAATGCAGAGGAAACAGAATACCCCAGCCAAGCAATTTCCATGTCAAACATCATCTGCGCGGCAGCTCGGTCTGTGAACGTGAGTCGTCGCCTGAATCCCTGCTCCGCGGCCGCCACCTCCTCATACCTTCACACCACGCACCCCTGGCCGGCATCCCGCTCACCACCGGTGGCCGAGGCTCTTCCCCCGCGCTCAGTCTTGAGCTGGAAGTGATTCCTATTGGCCAAGGTGTCCATGTAAATAGGTGTGAAAGAAACCAGAGCTGGCCAGGCTCTCCCGTCTCGCTCAGTCCCCTCCCTCTGCAGCCCCCGCTCCCCCTCCTCTTCCTCCTCCTCCCAAGGCGATTGTCATATGATAGCTAAGAAGTGGCACATTAATGAAGCGCCGCTACAGGGGTCTTTTCTGCTCCTGTCACCGCTTAAAACTATCAGATGGTTCGAGGGAGGACATGGAGGCAGCCACCTAGCTCAGCGGAGCCGCGGAGCCCACAGCAGCGCCCTCCGGAGCCCCGAGGCCGCCGCTGCTACCGTCTGCACCCGGACTCCGCAGCCGTGCTCTGCCGCCCAGGGAGCGCATCGCCAGAAGCGCTAAGGACTGGTCGGCTCCGGGCGCTGCGGGACTGAGCTGCGAGGCTCAGAGACGCACGAAGGCCAGCCGAGACCAGACGCTGCGCCCCGGGAGGGACCCCAGAGCAGTGCCATCCCGGATGCAGACGCACAACTTGGAGCAACTTTAAGGTGAGGCCTCTGGTTGCATCCCTGCCCCAGTCCCTGCTCCAGGTCTGTACTTCCTTCCGTGCTTACGCCGCGCCGCTCACCCGCTTCCCCTTCCGCGCCCCTTTGCCGCACCCCACTCTGCGCTCAAAGTTGCCAGCTCAAGAGCGCGGGCTCAGGCTGATCCGGCGTCGCAGCCCCTACCCACCACGGCTGGTCTGTACTCGGCCTGGCTGACCTCGCGGTGTCTGTCTATGCATCCATGCCTCCCACCTTCCCTTTATCTCCCCCCTGTTCAGATCCAAGCAGCCGCCGGCTCGCGCGGACCCAGAGCAAGAAGGGGGCAAACAAGATGCCTCGGCCCGGCCGCAACACGTATAGCGACCAAAAGCCGCCCTACTCCTACATCTCGCTGACCGCCATGGCCATCCAGAGCTCGCCCGAGAAGATGCTGCCGTTGAGCGAGATCTACAAGTTAATCATGGACCGCTTCCCCTACTACCGGGAGAACACGCAGCGCTGGCAGAACAGCCTGCGCCACAACCTCTCCTTCAACGACTGCTTCATCAAGATACCGCGGCGGCCAGACCAGCCGGGCAAGGGCAGCTTCTGGGCGCTGCACCCCAGCTGCGGGGACATGTTCGAGAACGGCAGCTTTCTGCGGCGCCGCAAGCGCTTCAAGGTGCTGAAGTCCGACCACCTGGCGCCCAGCAAGCCCGCCGACGCCGCACAGTATCTGCAACAGCAGGCCAAGCTGCGCCTCAGTGCGCTTGCGGCCTCCGGCACGCACCTGCCACAGATGCCTGCTGCCGCCTACAACCTGGGCGGCGTGGCGCAGCCCTCGGGTTTCAAGCACCCCTTCGCCATAGAGAATATCATCGCTCGAGAGTACAAGATGCCTGGGGGGCTGGCCTTCTCCGCCATGCAGCCCGTGCCCGCCGCCTACCCGCTCCCCAACCAGTTGACTACCATGAGCAGCTCGCTGGGCACTGGCTGGCCGCACGTGTACGGTTCCGCAGGCATGATCGATTCGGCCACCCCCATCTCCATGGCTAGTGGCGATTACAGCGCCTACGGCGTGCCACTGAAGCCACTGTGCCACGCAGCAGGCCAGACGCTGCCCGCCATCCCGGTGCCCATCAAGCCCACACCGGCCGCAGTGCCCGCGCTGCCCGCGTTGCCTGCGCCCATCCCCACCTTGCTCTCGAACTCGCCGCCCTCGCTCAGCCCCACGTCCTCGCAAACAGCCACCAGCCAAAGCAGCCCCGCCACTCCCAGTGAAACGCTCACCAGCCCCGCCTCCGCCTTGCACTCGGTGGCGGTGCACTGACCCGCAGCAGCGGGAGCCCCCTCTCGTTCCGCTCCCCGTCAGCTTATCGCCCCCCCCACCGCCTCCCAGCCCTGCCCTCCCCCCATCTAAGACCACCACCCTAACCCTAACTTGTCCATTTCACCTTCGGCCAACCCTCTCTCCCCTAGGAGAACTTTGTTTTGGACCCAGGAGACATAACACAAACTTGCAGGCGGCCTGGAGGCGCGTGGGAGCTGTCCTCGCCTCCGCCAGAGGGGAAGGCAGAGGGCACCTGGGCCAAGCCTTCCGATTCCCGCCCCTCACCCTGAAACCCCCTCCCAATTAAGAGGCAGGGGAAATCCTGCCTCCCGCCTTTGCGTAGAGGAGCGCGTCTTCGCTCGGCCGGGATCGGCGGGGCTCCGGACAGCGCGCAGTTAGTTCCTAGACAAGAGAAAGCGCCGCAGAGGTTTCCCGGCACAGATCTCCCCTGAGGGCTACAGCCGCACGGCTGAGGGCCGGATCTCGTTTACGTCTTGGAAATCTGCCGGGAAAAGGGACCACTCATCTTCCTACCCGACTCGCCTCCGCCCATCCGGCAGGGGCTGGGCGGACCACAGCTTCCTGAAGTAGCGGCCCTGCCTCCCCAGCTTCTGTGGAGTTTTTTGTTTTTTGTTTTGTTTTGTTTAGGGTTTTGTTTCCCGCCAGAGGCTCCAGGCACAGGGAGATAGGGGAGAGGCTGCCAAACTGAGAAGGGGACACTTGTCCTCAATACAGGCAAAACAAAACTAAAAGTAACCTTGCAGTGTTGTTTACAAAGGCGCCCGGTAAAATGTAAACAGTGAACTTGAATCTGTATTGCTTGGCGGGCGAGCGGGCAAAGCCTACTTTACAAGTACCTGTTGTAATGTGAATGTTTACTCTTCATTTCTGGCCAGGTTTAGGGGTGGGAAAGGGGGATGGGAAAGTTAATTGGGATGTTAACTTTCCTGTTACTTAGAGACCTTTTAGCTATTTATTTTATTGTTGGAAGGAAAAAGAAAAACCGAAAAAGAAAATGAAATAAGCCCAAACTAAGAAAGCATCAAGGGCAACTCTAGCAGAATTTAGATAGCTGACTGGTAACGTGAAGCAGATGTCACCGGATAGGTCTCCCATGGACAAGTCTTTCTGTTTGCTACAAGAATTTTCCCAAGAAGCTAAAGGGCTGCAAAGAGATGTAAATGCTTGTGAATAGGAATGATTATACACTGTGTAAAATGCACTTTTGTTTGCTATATTCCTTTAGAGTTCTTAGGTAATTTGCTGGAAAACGAACTGTTGTTCTGGTGTGACCTGCTTAAATTAAAAAAGAAAAAGTTGTAGTTGTCATAGGGCTGTAAAATTTTTACCTTTCATTTTTTCCTTCCCTGTTCAGAATTAGCATGGCATTTTAAATATTGATGTTCTTGTTCCCAGCATGCCTGTTTTAAGACAAAGAATTTTAAAAAGGTGTCTACATTAAATTATGAATCTAGTCCAAATAATATTTTCTCATTAAAATACATAAATTCAAATTTTAGTTTTGTGTGTTTTTGAAGAGCTGCTGCAAACAGTAACTTTACAAAAGATAGACGTAGTAGTCCCTCTAAGTACGCTTCTTGCAGTACATTGAGTAGTTTGGCTTTTTCATATCTTATTTCTAAAATAGATCTCCTCTGATGCATTTGCATAAGAAAGGGAGGGAGAAATGATTCAAAGGTATTCCTGAAGCAGAGGAAAAGAGGAAGCTATTTCTAGAATAGATCATCAGGTGCACAGGTGTAGTGCTGGAAAACTGTCATTTAAAAAATGCAATACTTTCTATGTATTTTTGTCTATCTTAAAATATACATTTTACAAAGTAGACTGCATGTAAGGCTTATGTAGAAATCAGGTAGAGTCTACATGTAGATAAGAACAGATTTGTTTCCTCAATACTCATATTCTGATGCATCTGAGAACATTCATTTCCCTGCTCCTTTATTTCAGTTGTTGAAACCTTCTTTCTCAGAATTTACCTAGAAGTTCACCTTGCATGTCAAGAAACCTGTTCAGTTTGAGTAGAACAGATTTCTTTTCATTCCTTCACGTGGGAAAGCAATGCTCAATGAAGTTAATTTAAATGACTCTAAGTATTTGCTTTTCCTCAGATTTTTGCAGGGAATTAAAATTTACCCAGAATTTGTGGTTTAAGGCCAACTGAAACTTTACTGAAGGGGTCCCAGTATTTCTAGAGTGAGGTGTGTATTCAACTAATGAAGTTACAAGACAAAAACTTAAATGGTGATTAACACTTTACTGTGTAATACGATTAAACAAAGGCCTTTGTGCAATACAGAGAAACCCACACAAAAATCTTGATCACTATTCTCTATAAGGAGAATCCTTAGCACCTGCGACCCTTAACATTATTTAGAGGGTTATCTGGGGGAAAAAAATTAGGATTAATGCAAAGGGTAATTAATCCTGTTGTGACCATTTTTTAAAAGGAAGGATCCCACACACAGCCAAAAAAAAAAAAAAAAACCTGGAAAATAAGTGAATCATTGGGCTGATTAAAATGCATGAAGCTACTACTAAAGCTCGTCAGACAGGGGACAACTAAACTCATTCATCAATCCCAATTCACAATTATATCAACAAGATCAGCAAAGAAAGCCTGGAAAACTTCTCCACCCTGGCCTAGGAAACTCCTGAAACTTTGTTCTCAACAAGACACCATCTACATTTAAAAACAAACAAACAAACAAACAAACAAACACATTTTCATTACTTCCTGCCGAATAAAATTAAGACCATTTCCGGAATATTCCAATATCAAATTTACTAACACTGAATTTGAACTGGGAATGAAAGCAACAGAAAAGACTAACATGGGCCTTAAACATTTTATAAGTTATCAGCTTGGATATCAGGTAAAATATTTGTCCTACAATAAGCAGTAGAAGGTCTATGTATAAATGTACACACACATACATTTAATAATGGAGGTAAATAAGATGCAGATCCAATTTCTGATTTTTAGCAATTAGCAAAGGAGTGACTTCAACTCAGTATCTGAAAGTGTTCTTTTCAGCCAGTAAGTTCGTCATGGTGTATTGCAAAGAATGAAACAACTTGGGCATTGTGAGCCCTCCTTTCACAACTGCAGGCATCTCTTCTCAGACAAAGTTGAATGAGTAAAGTAAAAAATCCACTGATGATATTTTGACCTTGATCAGAAATCCAAAGGCAGCCCAAACGCACGTCTCCACCCTCTCCAGCCCCAGCTTTGAGACTCACACCCAGTTTAGCTGAAGTGCCCCCACAAACAAGGAAGTTTATAACTATGATACCTTCAATGGCTCTCTTTGTCATGTTAAATCTTTTCACCTGGCTCAAGTCCAAAGTCAATACACACAGCTTTAAAATAAAACTGAAAGAGACAACACCATGCAGTGAGGTGTGTGTCCGGGAGAGTCTTATCTTGAAGATCGAGTTAACTTACATTTTCTATTTTGTAAAACTGGGCAGTATTCTTTTTTTTTTTTTTTAATTTAGGTTTTTTATTTGGAAACTTGGCTGTCCCGTTACTTTTGGTTTTTAACAGGATCCCGTACTAAACTGTGTTTTTATGTGGCTTTCTCTGTGATTAAGGGAAATTCTTACACAATGGATGAATTTTGTGCACTTTCTCAAGAGAGAAGCTGTAGAAGTTCTCACTGTTTCTGTTGCCTGAGTTGGAGATTTTGAGAAGCCTGAAGACTAGCCGGAGCAGTGCTAGTAAATGATTCTCAGAATGGCTTAAATATTATAGCAGTGAGTTCACGTCCTTTAAAATAGATGAGAACACTGGGCGTCTTGGAAACATAAATCTGGCCAGGTGCTCGAGTGGCGTGAAGTTGGGGAATAGGTTGGAGGAAGAAACCAGCTGAGAGCTGCAAACAGGTTTTACATGAGTGTACGCAAGGTTGGGGTAGGGGACGTGAAGACTTTCACAAATGGAAACTCCCTTTTTAAATTGTATCTAAGAAATGAGAAGGATCAGGATCTGCTTTCAAATTCGTAATGTAAACGTCAATTTTTTTCCCTAAAGCCACATATGCACAGAGACACCCAAACAAAAACAAAACAAAAACAACCCAACCCACCGGCTGTGAAGCCTCAAAGGGGATGCATTTGTTTCGTTTAAACTAACAACAAATTATCTAATTAATATGTTTCAATTACAGCATGAAAGGCACAGCCCCTGGACCGCCCGCCGTGGGGGCACAATAGCCCCAGAGCCCACTCTAGGAATTTACAATAACTTCACATCTGTTTCTTTATTTTCCACTTTTTGAGTCTAAAACTCCTCTCAAGATCACTTCAAACCACAGCCTGAGTTATGAAATATGTCCCAGTGTTAAAGGGGGACGAAACTTTGCCCATGGATGCTTCATTTGCAAGCAAAAAAGTGAAAGCCCATTGAAGAGCATTAAACAAATATATTAGAATTCTGTCACTTTATGCAATTGAGTAGATCAAATGAAGGGTCCCGGCCACTTCATTCACTCTCATTCACTCGAATAGAAAATGCAAAGAATAGCAACCCGAGACTGGGCCACCGATGTAGATTTAGCTCCTTTTTACTGGGAGACAAAAAGGCTGAATTTTCACAAACACATTGCTGACTCGGGGACTAGGAAACCGGCACTGGAACCCCTTTGGAATTTAAATTCATTTTATCTTCCTCTCTCTTTGCGGGGATCTGTTTGCACTACAGTGCAAGATGCAGCAGGCATCCTCTGGCGTCTGAAAAAATGGGGGAGGGGAAGAAAGTGAGTGGGGGTGGCAATGTGGGCCTCAGGATTCCCAAGAAGCTCTTTGGTGGTCAACTAACTTGCAGGTCTAAGAGAACTTTGATTTAAATAACTCTATATTTATATCAATGGAAGTATCATTATATCACACACATCTCCATGTCTCTTACCTCCTTGCTTGGCAGGGATTACACAAACAGCTTGTTTTCAAAGACCAGAATTACATCTGGGTCAATCTGT